TATATAGTAAATAAGAGTAAATAAGTTATTATTTGTACTAGAAATAACTAGTTACTATCTAGTTAAAAAATGTTTTTTAACTAGTAAATGTGTGCTATACAGTTAACCTTGTTTCACTATATTGAACTTTGTACACATTGAATCTAAAATTTGGTACACAACATGCATCAAATTTTGACTTTGAATTTTATTCACTGATCAAGATATGGTTAAAAGAATAAAAGATAAGTTATATGAATATTGGGCTTATCTTTCTCAATCTTTGGCTATTCCTGCTCTTCTTGACTCCTCAAACAAATTTGAAGCTTTCTATGAAACTGACCATAAACTGTCTATTGATCAGTTAAAAGAAATTTATTCATTATATAGTTCTAATAAATTAGTGGCAAATAATTTAAAAACTGCCTTCAAATCAGAAGATCAATTGAGATTTTTCAAAAAGCTTATGTAATCAAGCAAAGGTAGATCAACTAAGTTGGAGAAAGCTAATGAGCTAACAGCATATCTTTCTTTACCTTGTGAGCATGGTGCTAATTAGAGATAGTAAAAAAACGGTTTAAATAGTTTTTTAGCTATTTTAAAACTTTTTAAAACAATTGGCGCTGAGACTAAAAATTAAAGTTTAGGGCTAAAATGCCGATTTACCAAATTTCATAGAGATTTCTTTTAAAGAAAAAATATTTATTTTATAAACTTTCTTTATTATATAATTAATTACAAGAAATATGCAATTGCTTAACCATATATATATATATTTTTTTTTCTTTTTTTTTTGTTCGCTCTTTTTATATATATAATTTAATGCATCATTATTATATAATTAATTACAAAAAATGCGTAATTGCTTAACTATATATATAATTTTTTTTTCTTTTTTTTTATTCACTCTTTTTACGCATATAATTTAATGAATCGTTATTATATAATTAATTACAAAAAATGCACAATTGCTTAACTATATATATAATTTTTTTTCTTTTTTTTTTCTTTGCTCTTTTTACGTATATAATTTAATGAATCGTTATTATATAATTAATTACAAGAAATGCACAATTGCTTAACTATATATATAATTTTTTTTTCTTTTTTTTTTTTGTTTGCTCTTTTTACATACTGTATATAATTTAATGCATAATTTTTAAAGTTAATTATCAGTTATTATTATCTCCGAACCAATCATCAATTTCAATTCCTTTTTGAATTCTCAAATTCTGATAGACTGCAACAAGTTTTTTTACTTATTCATTATATAGACATGCATGATATTTATTATGAATAAACTCAAAGTTAGACTAGCAATGTTTTGCTGCAGCTGATGAAGCTGGAACAGAAAAAACTTGGCAGGCAAGTTCAACCACAAAAGGAAATTTCTTTGAAAAATTATACTTCCACCAACTAATTGGGCTTGAATATTTAACAGATGCCCACAACAATAACCCAGAAAATTCATCCACTTTGGTGACATATTTTTGTATTACTCTAAATATCTTTAATAAATAAAAATTTTTGTATAAATAAAAAAATTTAAAATTAATAATTTAATAAATATTATATTTACATGTGCTGCAGTTCCAAATGAATAGATATTTTGAATATATGGAACAATAATATTTTCAAGATCATCTGGCTTTAGTGATTCTTTACAAAATCTAAATTAAATATATTAATATATTATATAGTATATTAATTTTTATACAGTATATTGAAATTTTAAATAATTAAGCGCCTACCTGAAGCATTAACACACCAATATGGGAGTTGAGATAGTAGGTAATGTGGGTGAAGCAGTAGACATGTGGAAGTTAAATGGCGGTGAGTAAGGATATACAAAATCCAGGTCAACAGTATAGTGGGAGTACAGTCGGCTCTGGTGGGTTTTAGCTGTGGATAAATAGTTTGTATACCTAATGTTCTAGTCTTAGTACTTGAAATAATATGTATATGTATAGGCACCATCATATGTCAATCATTTAAGTATTAATAAAGTCTAAGTGCGGGTGCTACACCTCTATAATTAAAAAAAAAAAATTAAAATTTTAAATATTTACTAAGGATCTAAAAGGTTTGCAATTGCTATCACAAGATGAAATGCAAAATCGAACTATTTATTAATTAAATCAAAAACTTTAAGTTTAAAATTTAACTCTAAATTACACAAACCAACTGATTCTTAAATTATTTGCCATTTATAAAGAGCAAATGAAAGTAAAGATTTGTCTGATTTAAATAAATGTATAAGTTTGACAAAAGGTATTAAAAAAAATTTCAATTTTTCAAATTCTTCCCACAATGAATCATTTAATATCTGTTCTTTAAGATTATATGAAAGTTTTTTGCTAACTTCAGGTTGTATAATAGTCATTTAAATTCCTAATTTGCATCGAACAACTGATTAAATTGCATTTAAACAAGTTTCCCAACGTGTATCAACAGGTTAAACCAAAATAATTGTATTTGGCTAGCTTAATAAAATTGATTCTGCAGCATGATGTCCTTTAAAAAAGCCAATAATTTGCTTTATACAATTGATTAATTTTTCTACCCAATCGAGTTTAAGTATATCTTTGATTAAAAGATTCCCAATATGTGCATTGTAGTCTAAACAAATTAATTATGGATAATCTTCATTTAGTAACTTCCAAGCTGCTTACATATTATTTGTATTATCTGTTATAATTCTGGCAAACTTAAAAGAGCCAACATCTTTAATTATAGTTTTTAACTCATTATAGATATACTTTGCCATATGAGATTCAGAGCCAGAATACTTTGCATTATAAAAGAATAGTTTAGGAAGGCAAAGAATAAAATTTAAAACAAACTCTTATTGAATATTTGACCACCTATTTGAAACTAATGTAATATTTGTTGCCTCTTCTAAAATTCTAGTTAAATTCTGCTAACCAACTTCATATTCAGAATCTAGCAAATTGCTAGCCAAATTGCGCCAATTAGGACTAATATAAATTGGGTTTGTATTATTTTTAATATAAAGATGCATAGCATCCATAAATTCTTTCCAAAAGGGTGTTTCAATAGCTATAAAAGGAATACTAGCTGAATAGAAAAATCTTGCTAATATACGAATTTGGTTATTGTTATCTCATCTTCATTTGAACCAAAGGCTTGAACATTAGCATTATTTAATAAATTTTTCATATTTGTTAGAAACTTTTTGCATTTATATAAGTGATTCTTTAATCGAGGACTAAATCTACAAAGTCTTCTCCATAGTAGTTCGACCAAATTTGTTAGTTTCTGTAACTTTTGTAAAGTTCAAGCGAATTTCTTTTATTGAGGTCTTCCACAGTGCATGATTGTTAAAAATTTTATATTTTAAAAAGAGATAATGGTAAAATTGTATTTTGACGTAATTAATTAATTAAATAAATACTATCCTATTGTTACGTATTATGATTATGTCGGAATGTATTAAATCAATTAAATAAATACTATCACATTATTACATTTATAATTACATCAGAATGTTTTAAATCATTAAAAAACCATTTTAAATCAAACAAACATGTTTTAAAACATTCCGTTTTAAACCATTTGCTATCCCTAGTGCTGATCCACTTTTGTGATAAAAAGTTAATGCTTCTCGTTTTCCAATTCTAGCTTGCTTGGCAGCAGACTATCTTGCCTTGCAAGCTACTAGTGTTCCTTGTGAGAGAGCCTTTTCTGTTGCAAAGAACACTATTGATCTTACTAGAAATTGTCTTCTTGATCAAACGGTAAGAGCTTCATTATGTTTGAAGAGCTGGTTAGAAATAGAAATTACTGAATTATAAAATAGTATATAGAATAGAATACAGTAGAATAGAAAAAAAAAAATACTGTATCTTTTTGTTTAACGTAGGGATGTTAAATTGCGAATCCAGTCCGGTCCGATCCTAGGATCCAAAAGGACGGTCCTGGACTCGATCCTTAAATCACATGATAATACAATACATTTTATAGAACTTAGATCCTGTATCAGATCCTGAACTGTATCTATAGAATAAGTTCATCCAATCAAATTAATTTTGTATTGTTATAAGTCCTATAAAATGTATTGTATTTTCATGTGATTTAAGGACCGAGTCCTTACCGATCCTGCAGGTCCTTGTAAGGACCGGTTAGGATTCGGTCCCAAAAGACCGATTAACATCTCTAGGAAGTATTGACTATCTTAGCCAAAATTACTATTTACGTATTAGCAGTCAAATTTTGGGATATTTACAAATGCACCGTAATGTAATTGTATTTAAGCTTATTCATTTCTCATTTAATTCAGCATGACGATCATTTGCATTATCTCTCATTTATTTTGCTTATTTCATGATTTGTGAGTGATGGTATTAAAAAATCTTAATCTAGTGTACTATTCTAGGTGTGATATTAAATGCAATGTTATTGTCATACCGTTATACTGCAGTGCTGTATATCTTGTTTTCTTCACTAAGCATTTCACCGACAGCTCATTCACGCCAAGTGGCAATTTACAAAGATATATAAACTGATACCAGATACGTACGTACAAATAATAACCTTTGACGTCGGCTAAGTGAGCCGCCGGTGAAATATTGGTGAGCAGCATAATTTTGGTTTTAGTAATTAACTACTGAACTACAGAACTATTAATTCCGGATAGGTACAATCTCTAGCCAATCACAGAAGTAATTCAATTTCATGTGAACGGAAAGTTTATTCTATTTATAGCAGTATAATAAAGTCAATGCAGTGTAAGACATTATTCTTCTAGTGATACTTTTGTTTTATTACCAAAGAAGGGAATATGCTTCTGGAATAAATCCCGAGTACCGGTACATCCAACTAAGTCGTTTAAAGTTCGTTTGACAAGAGCTTTAAAGTAATATGAAAGATTCTTAAGAAATTCATTAGAATGATAAATTATTCAAAAATTATTGGTACGTAGGTCTAACCAACCTCCCTTGTTTCAAATTCCAAATATATTCAGACCTATTTTACAAAAAAAGAATCAAACTGTCTTTGCAATGTTGAGTACTATAAACTTTGAGCATTTTACAAACCGAACCATTTTAGCATGTTTCGCCACAACATTTACAGTATTCACAAACTCTATTTAACAGGTTTTGTGATTCTTTTCTTTAGTTTTCACTGGTTTGAAAACGTTGAATCGTTCGTTCCAGAAGCTCGATATGCGCATAGTGCCACTTTAGTTAATAATAAACTTTACTTTTTCGGTGGACAAATCTCTGAATTAAAACAAGGACAAGAACTTTTCCATATTTATGATGAATTATTTTACCTTGATGTTTCAAGTTCCTTTAGCATAGAATCTCCATCATGGACAGATCTTACAGCATCTAAGAATGTTCCAGTGAGAAGTTCATGGTCGACATCATCGGTTGGCTTTGGAATAAAATCCGATAAATCAACTATTTATCTAATTGGCGGTTTGATGTATGTCATTAATCAAAATGATTTAGTTACAGACATAATTTATGCATTCGATACCAAATCTCAACAATGGAAGCTACCGGTGATCAATGGTGCGGGACCAAATAGGCGACGAGAGGTTCAAGCTGTTTCCGATAATACCGGTAATATTTATTATTTTGGTGGAATATCCGATTATACTACTACAGGATCTCCAACAGAAAATGTAACTCGTTATAATACTTTGAACATTTTGGATACTGCACAATTAACTTGGTCGATTGGTTCTACTAACGATGCCCCTTCACCACGTGAGGGTTATAGCGCAACCCTTTACATAAATTTTATTATCTATATTGGTGGAAAAGAGAATAGCTACGATAGTCGACCTTTTCGCCTCGTGAATATAAGTCAGGTAAGATTTTCACAAATTTATTTAAAATTCATATAAAATATTTATAAACGGAGTAATAAATAAAATATTTATAGATTCCAGTGTACGATATTCAATCTTCAATGTGGTATTTAACGGTATGTATGTTTTCATGAAGTGAAATCAAATTAAATATTTTCAAAATTTCATATTTCATTATCAGACTGTTGGAGGTGCAAACGTAAGCAATCGCTATGCTCACTCTGCAATTTTAGGTATTACAGTAATTTTTTTTATCTGAATATAATTATATTGATATGTATATGTTTCAAATTACCTGACTTTCTAAACCATTCATTGTTTTTGAAAAGCTCAAAACAATCTCATAGTAATACATGGCGGTATAAGTAAAGGAGAACTTCCAGCACCACAACAGTTAATAGCTCTTAATATAACTTCATTACCATATAAATGGATAGTACCAACAACATCTTCTCTTTCACCTTACGCGATACCTCCACCTCTATCACTACATTCTGCTACATCGGTTGGGAAATATATGATTATTGCTTTTGGTATTAAACATATTAAATTATTCATTTAATTATGGATCAAATTTTTTGAATTGCTTTGTTAATTTACTTTATTAATTAAATTAGGAAATATAACAAATGCTACGAGAAGTGCAAGCTCAGATATTTATTTACTTGACACTACCAATTGGACTTGGGTTACCACCTTTCAGCCTAATCCTACTCATGTCAACATAGGTAATAATTTAACTCTGTCTCATATTTAAATATTTGTGAATATTAGATGATTAACCTTTCCGAAATATTTAAAAAATCAGTTATAATAGGTGCAATCGTGGGAGTTGTACTTTTCATCCTAATTATTATAGCATTCATAGTGTTATACATAAGAATACGCAAGAAAAATGCAGGAAATTTTTCATCAACTAAAAACACTCCACCATCAAGTTCCAGAAATTCAATATCTAATCCATCTCCGAATCCCCAAGAAATTGTATCTGAATCTTATAATGCTAGAACGACATACGTTAGACCTAGACCCAAGTCTAATCCTCTGTTGAAACCTTATTCTACTTTAGCAAATACATGACAATGTATTTCTACTGCTCGGAATTTATAGGTTTTGTCACACGCGATAAAGAGATATGCTACAATAAGTGGTTTAGCAAGAAATATCAAGACGATTATGAAGATGCAGAATTTATAATGATGACGTTGCTGTATGAAGTTCTGTGGTAACTAAGGTTTTGCAAATGCCAACCGAATATGTACTATTAAAACATAATGCAGGGCACGCGCACAGGCATTATATTTTAATAATGCCATGCTCGGTATTTGCAGAAATACATATATGAAGCGGCATAGATAATATAGTTAGAATATAGATTATTATTACACACTACATTATTATGTAGAACCAAAAATCTGGCATAAGATACTATATTTAGCAAATCAGAATATAATAACTTCTAGTCCAATTAGTGATTTAACACATTGTAACATAGTGTATATACTGTAGTTAATACTATTAAAATAAATAAAATAGTTAAAAATATTTATATATTATAAAATTAAACTATTTTAAAACTAGAATAACAAGCAAAAGTCATGGATATATGAACATTGAAGCTTCGATTATCGTTAATAAAGTCAGGATGATAATTAGTTGTTAGATTAATTTTTTTTTAAAAAACTATACATTAAATGATACTATATAAATTGCTAAAAATTTTTATTTAATACTCTTGCATATCGGAGGATTTGTGAAATTTGATAAATAGAAAAACCCATGAGCCGTAACTCTGGTCAAATTTGCAGGTCATTTGGCCAGCTTTGAAGTCAAATAATTTCAAACTAGCCAAATGATCTGCAAATTTGACCAGAGCTACGGCTCATGGGTTTTTCTATTTATCAATTAATAATTAATCTTTTATAAAGTGAAATTATAATAAGATAACGATATAAAGCAAAAGCGTTTTTATTTATTTTTGTAAAAACACTAAACAAAGATCTTTTAATAATTATAATACAGATAACCTATACATTAAAATAAAGAATAAAAATATTTATCAGAGTATAATAAAGTATAATGTAAATAAAGTATAAGGATTCTGGCGTGAGTGGGTAATTTGGCGCACCAATGTTTTTCATATCTCGAAATATACTGAACAGAATCGAAAAATTTAGTACCATTCTATTCGTCTTACGGAGACGAACAAATAATATGAAAATTTTTTTTTGGGTCAAGTTGTTAAATTACAAGATATAAGTAAAAGTCGATAATACTTATGCCAGTATTGAAATTTTTTTAATTTTTATTTTATATTTCCTTATTTGGGTAATATTAACTTTTTATTTTATATTTCCTTATTTGGGTAATATTCCGGAGGAAGGATGCAGCAATACAATACAAATTCAGTCAAATGGTCAAATTGGTCAAATTGGTCAAAGCGGTCAAATCTATTATATAAATATAATATATATTATATATATTATATATATTTTATAATAAATTATATATTTAAATACTGTATACTATTTGACCAACTTGACCAGTACAGATCCTTTGACCAGACCGGTCAAATTGGTCTGGTCAAGCCAACACTGAATACAAACACATAGTGATGCATAGTAAAAAACATAGCATTTTTGTAATTCCTGATCGATTCAACTGCTTGTATACCTATTATAATAAAAAATTGATTAATTAATGCTGTAACTTGAACTTATTTTAATATGAAATTAAATTTTTAGGGTATTTTTTCTAGATTTTTTTTTATGATTGGATTAGGATTTATAATTAAAGAGTATAAGTGGATTTTAGTAGGATTTATATTTCTAAATAGAGACCTTAAATTTCAGCATCCCCGACAATTAACATCCCTAATAACTCTATAGTAATAACGAAGACAATAATTAATTATTTATAAGTGCTTGTCAACCGTCATAGTATCACCCATAAAAAATTGTAGCTTAGGTCAAAATTAAGTAGAATAAATGACGATAATGAAGAAGTTGAGATTTTTAATAATAAGTTACTATTACCATGCACTATAAACAATAATTTTTTTTTTTTTTCAGTAACCGAAATAAAATTTTTTTTGTTCATGTCTCTAAAGTTTAATGTTAAAATTGTTTTTATTTCATGATACATTGTTATAATTTAACTATACATGTATTAGAATCTTCAAAAGATATTGCGAATTACTTTGTTTTTATATCGATACGTTCTAATAATTAAATAGTTATTTAATTATAAGACATTTTGATATTTTATGCAATTAACTTTTTTAACCGAACTGGCCAACTTTTGTTCCTAATTTTCAAATAAAAAAAAAGCCCAATATCAATGTTAACCATAAAGTGAAAGTTGATATTTTACTGTATCACATGATTATCTATATGTCAGCTAGCCGACACAGAATAGCACTTTATTATTAGCGTCTTCTGTGCATTAATTAAGTTGGATTTATCTCCAAAAATCTAGAGTTTCGCATGGGCCGGGCTGGACTTAAGGATGGGCAAGGAATAATGTGAGTTGTTTTTTTATCCAGACCATACCATGTTGATGATTAACGATTCTAATAAAAATAAACTGTTTGATCAATTGTTTACTTATTATTAAAATTAGTGGAAATAATTAAAAATAATCTGTTGATCAATTATTTATTAAGTAAAATTAATGGAAATAATTAAAAATAATTGGAACTAAACTTTGCCCATCTCTAGCTGGGCTAGGCATTTTAAAGTCTAGAACTAAAACCTATTGTAAAATGCCAGAGATTTTCGTTTATTATTAATTAAATCAATTTCCGGTTGGTCGTGTATACCTGAACTTCCGTGGCTCTGGATCCAACCCATAAAAAATATATACTAATTTATTTAATTGGATAGATATATATGTATAACCACATAGAGATACGTTGTACAGTCAATACTGCTTAAATGCATATTGCGTATCGATGCATAGTTTAGATAGTTAATTTTCTGACATTTGATTGGTTGATACTGTATAAATACATAAAAATTGATTTTTTTTTTCTTTGTAATGGTATGCATTAGACAATCCACGCTTAGGGTTGTGTTACAAGAGTTACAATCTTACATGTAAGTTTCAGTAAATCAGATTTCACATAATTTTTATTACGTTACATAAGTATTAATTACTAGCTTGTTGCATCATTTAATTTAAATATATTATCCGAATTACATGAAAAATAATTTGTCAAGACTTGCGCAAAATTACATAAAATATACGCAAATTATGGTAATTTTACATCTCTACTCAATTTAATATCACAAACTGTAAAAAGCTTATTGTTATTAAGTTTTCTCATAATTTTGATGATAATTCATAATTTCGACCAATCAACTTAAAATCTGGACTATTTTGCTATTGTAAGCATTTTTGATCTGAACCGAATTTTGATCCCAATCCAATTATGCACGGACCAAGATTTTCGAAAAACAGGTTCAAACCAAAATCCATATTAGTATCCAAGTCCAGTTCATGAGAACCAATCCATAAATAATCCATGAATAATCTAGTCACATGCAGAACATTACATACTGTAGGAGAAGTCCTAGCGTAACCGATAATCGAGGGAGCAATCACATGATTTCCGACCTTAAATTTTAGATCTTTCTTAAGAAATAGTTATTCTAAAAAATAGTTTGTACAAATTGCTGAAAAGCAAAGCTTTTTGTGACTTTGAATGCTGAATCACTTTAATGTAAAGAAAAATAGTGAAATTTAAACAATTGTTCCGAAAGTGCTCACCACACTTTCCATATAAAAATTTAAAATTGCGACCAGAATTCACTATAAGAAGTTCATTAGAGAGATTTTGATAGTAAATAAATTATGAACTTATGCTATGAATCCGAAGGTCGGTTTATTATTTTTTTTACAAACTTTTAAAATTATGTTAATAAAGCGATCAAAGAAACAAATATTTACCACATAACGATAATATTAAATTTTTATTTTCCAAATTAAAAAGATAGTACGATACATTTGAAAAAAGCAAAAGTCTTGAGCACCCGGCCCATTTTTCTTGACCCATCCTAAAAAATACATACACATCGTTTTTGACTCGTCTGATCCAATAAGATATTATTTGCTTGAAAGAATTTCTATATATATATTTATTATACCATAACGCGAAAAAAAAGAAGCTATCTGAACTATAATCTTTAAAGTATTTAGTTAAAAATGGCGCAAGCATAAAAATGACATGTGCTATGGAAACTATTAGAAACCCCGTTCCTGGTTTTGTATAATGATATCGCACTTTTTTTTAAATAAAAAAAAATCAGAAATGAATTTAAAGCCTGATTCCAACTAAATATTGCTGAAAATAATCTACATATTACAAAATAAACTTGATATACAATCTCACTTTGAAAAACTATACGCAGTATACTGTATGCGCAAAACATGAGCGATCATTATACGAAATGGAGCAGTGGAGGATTTTTTTGTATACACATGTATCTGGTTATAATAACATCGATATAAGTTGACGGTTGGTTATATAGACTTTTATTTTTTTTTATTTTTTTTTTAAAAAAATTTCATTTCTATAACTGTACTTGATAAAAAATTTAATGAAGCAATGGAACAATAAACTAGACCGGATGGAATTTGTCAATTGAACCAACATTAACAATCATCGATAATTTATAAAATTGAAATCAATTTTTTTCTTTTTTTCTTTTTTTGAATAAAAATCAGACAAAATATTTGCTGGTCTGGATATTTCGAAGTCCAGATCCAACCCATATTTAATTGAATAGATCCATGACCACATGGGTATAATCCATGGATAAACTATAAACACGATGATGACATCTATAATTTTGGTCAATCAGATTAACTATGGACTGTTCATGGGTTTTTGGATCTGGACTCAATTATCCATGGTCAAAATTTTTGAACCAAGCCCAGCCCATGCGGAACCCTAGTCGAAGATGTACAGTCAACTAACTCTATTTATTCCTATTGCTAATCTAAAGTTTTACGTTCGGTCTCACAGAATTTATTAAAGTTTGGATTAGAAAGGTTCGGATTAGTGTACGTACGTGCCATAGCCACATACTACATACTTATTGCGTTATGAAATAAATACGCGCGCATTTTAATATATTATTTATTTTGACAGGTGATACAATTTTATTGACAAATTTGATAGTGAGACGGCAGGGTTCTGCTAGGCACAGACATTTCACGATCAATTTCTATACGTCAGTTATTGGTGCGAAACGTTCAATAACGGTATTATCCGATATCATACAGCGATCAGAGCATAATATTAAATAATGACGCAATCAAATAATAATTAAATTTTTACCAAGTACCATAAACTAACGAAAGGTAAAATTGGTTAGATTATTAATGGTACGATCCCTGCAAACCCTGTAAAGCAACTACAGTAACTGCAATATGGTTAAAATTTTAGAGGCTCGGTAAATTAGTAAATTCATGAAAAAAAAAAGAAAAGTTCTAATAAGCAAGCTCATGAAAATTCCAAATCAGATAACTGTACAAAATACGTAATTATGTAATAATAATATTATAAATGATAGCATTAGTAAGAGCATTATTAGATAAATTAGTACTTTCTTTACTTCTTTACATATGGTTTTTTTAAGTCCAAGAGAATTATTTTCAAGTTTTTTGCCCAGTTGATATGATTTTAAAATAAAGAACGATTTTAAGTTGTTTGCTCAGTTGAGATGATTTTTTAAAAGATCGGATGCTAAACCAATTTTAATAACATGAAATCCGATTTTAAGTATAACGTCATTTTCATTACTGATCAGCATATGGTATCATAATAATACATTTTATCAGTGAAAGAAGAAAGCAGAAGAAAGCATTTTCATTACTGATCAGCATATGGTATCATAATAATACATTTTATCAGTGAAAGAAGAAAGCAGAAGAAAGCATAGAATGAAGTACCGAAATAAGCGTAAATTTTCCATCATAATCTTCGTTAACCTGAAAAACAAGATAGAGAGAGTGGTGCTTATTTCGGTAAGACAAAGTAAACGGTGTAACACTGTCGGATTTCGATTAATTACATTTATTGTATAATTTTTTAAATTATCTGGATTAAGCATATCTGTAGATTAAAGCAGTCCAGATCAAAAAACATAAATAAAGTATACCTGATCGCTTAAACTGAACCAACCGCACAAATATAAAATTTAACAACAATAGTCCTGTCATGCATAAACTTTCACAACATATCTAATACCAATCATCAATATTTTTTTTAGTAAATCAAAAAGTAAGTAGTAATACATATGCATGTCTTTAAATTGTACCAATAAGCTTTCGTCTCAAATTGTTTTTTTCTCTTTGGAACATTTGGTATACTTTACATATTTATATTGCAGATAATGTCCCAAAAGTATGAATATCGGCTATAAATGCGTGAATCGCGTGTTAATTAATCTAGGCATCTTTCTTAACCAGATATATTTCAACTCTTTTTTGGCATAATAACACATGTATATGTAATAGTTTGCATTAATAATTAAAATTTTTCACCATTTGTCTTAGAAAAAAGACAAAGAAGGTATTTTGTTCCTTACATGAGCAAATAAAGTTTTTTAAAAAAAATCTGCTTCAAGAATTTAGATTTTTTTTCGAATTTACCACGTGGTAAGTATGGTATCATCATTATTGCTTATTGTTTTATTTGAAAATAAAAACTATAAAAATCACTTTAGGATAGACTTATTCTCTTTTTTTATCCTTTTAAATTTTCATAACAACGAGTAGCTGGTAGACAAAAAAAAAAAAATTTCATAAATTTGTTAATACTAATTTACGAATAAATGCGTCTACCTATAACAAAGAAGAAACGACAAGAGAAATCTCAAAATGATGACTCGATTAATATGGTCTCCATTTCTAAACAAGTTCTTTTAACACTACAACAACAAAATAATTTTTTAAATGATGAAAAATCTAATGTTAAAGATAATCCTTCAAAATATTATTCTCTGGATGATTTAGAAAATGATGATTTTGATCTGTTAAATATCGGCCATTATATGTGTAGATATCAATGGCAAGGAAATTTCTCATCCCCAATAAATGAAAATTTGATTAATGGAATGCGAGTTCTTGATATTGGGTAATAAAAATTATAAACTTTCATATTGAAGTGTTACTGTTTTACAGATCTAACTGTCATTTCTTTTTTTTTTATCAATGAACCCATAGATGCGGTGCAGGATCATGGATTTTAGGTAATGTCAAATACATAAATGTGACTTTCTGTTTAATATATATATATATAACAGTATAATAATTCATAAAACTGTAATTGCACTATATATTAGATATGGCCGCGCAATATCCATCAAGTACATTCCTCGGACTTGATAAATTAGATCTATTTCCACCATCTGACAAACGATTTCCAAACACTGGATTCATACAAGCGAATGTATTGGATGGAATTCCTTTTCCTGATAACACATTTGATTTCGTTTGTGAACGGTTCCTTGCGTTCACTGCATTGACCGGATGGCAGTTTACTTATTTACTGAATGAAATGATCAGGGTATAGTATCTATTATTATTATTTAACTATTAGTACAATATACTGTATCTTGAAGAAATTTTTATTAAAAACAAATTATCGCATCATGTAGGTGTGTAAACCGGGCGGATGGATTGAGGTAATATGATGACTTTTTTTTTTATCAAGTTACATATACAAGAAATATATACTTACCATATACAATTTGTAGATAATGGAATATCGAGGGTACGAAAATGCTGGACCTATCGCACAAGCCGGATTAAATCAAAGTAAATATAACTATAATTTAATTAACGATAATTTAATTTAATTAACGATAATTTAATTAACGATAATTTAATTAACGATAATTTAATTAACGATAATTTAATTAACGATAATTTAATTAACGATA